ACGATTAAGTTGGACTGTGCTACCTCTATTCCATGAAAGTACTTAACACGATGTGAAACTTTATACTAGGGTAGGTAAAAGATGTTTTTTCAGTGCATAAATGTCAGCATGATGACATGATTGTCACCAATAATAACAATTTCATTTGCATAACTCTGGGATACATACAAGTATACAACAACCCTATGCAAAGTGATGGTATGCCTACATGATGACTAATCAAATTCATAAGTGTCTGCACGACGACTAATCAGTCACTGCTTGGAGATCAATCATGGGATGTTGAAAACGAACCTCAATTTTGTCCATGGAGCGAAGAATGTCATGTTCATCAAACAACATATCTTCAACCAAGGCTCTGCTAACTTTAACATACTCTGACAAAAGCAACTTGTACAGGGCCTTTGTTGCATGAGTCATAAATACGCTCCCTTTAAATGTAATCTGAAAATAAAAGAAGCTAATATGAATCAACAAAAGAAGTACTAAACAGTTGCAAGTAAAAAGATTTTGAACCCCTGAACAAACCTTTTCAAGGAAATAAGGGAGGGAGGCAGCATGATCTAAGTGAAAACTGCAAAGCATTAGAGCATGTTAATGCAATCATTTAGAGTAAGATAAAAAGGAAAAGGAATCAAAAAAATTCAGGATAAAAAAAACAGCTAAACAAATGGTCAACAGTTAATATGCATGTCAAAGGGACTTGAACGCACTGTGGAAAAAATTAGCGCGTGCACAAGTAATTCACTGAAAATCAGGACCACATAGAATAGATAATAAGATGAACTAGATCCGTCCACTCCCCTATGCCAGATTCACAGTGGAGACAAAAATACTAGGTGATTTCTCCCCATCTATCCAAGTTTTGATGGACAGAGTTACCTAGTATTTGTGCTGGTGGGAGGTAAAATTAGTCAAGGTCCATGCAAGTTCGCCCGGACACCGTGGTAACAAAAATTATCAATAATAACAAAAATTATTTCAAATAATGATGAGTTAGTCCATTGATGACTTCATACCATTTGAAGTTTGTGCACTCCCAAACATGTGAGAGTATAATCACAAAATGAAAATCTTATTTTTCAACTGATAGGTATTTTTTTTATAAGGTAAATTATATTAATCAAAAGGGAGAGAACTACTGTATACAAGAAGTATACCAAAAAGTAGAGAATTTACATCAGAACATGATTCTATACAAAAGACGTCCAATTATCTATACAAATAGGGGCTATATGAGTGCACCAAAAAGCGATCAAAGATAAAAGAATATTCTTAAGATGTGAAAAAGGAGACTCAATCCCCTCAAAAGCTCTCCTATTTCTCTCCCCCCAAACTATCCACATGAGAGCTAATGGGGCGAACTTCCACGCCTTGTGCTTTCTTCTTCTACGGAAACCGGCCCAACTATATAGCATTTCCTTTACAGTGCTTGACATCACCCATTGAACACCAAAAAGGTTCAGGATCGCCCTCCATAAAGCCGAGGACACAGGACAATGCAACAAAAGATGATCAACTTCTTCCCCTGAGCTTTTACACATATAGCACCAACTAACAAGTGTAATTCCCCTTTTTCGCAGATTCTCAGCATCCAAAATCACTCCCCTCGCCGCTAGCCATGCAAAAAAGCCCACCTTCGTGGGCGCCTTAGGAATCCAGATCGAGGAGTATGGAAAAGAGGCCTCATCTCTCACTAACATACTCTGGTAAAAGGACTTCACGGTGAACAAATCATCGCCACACAAACCCCATCTCCAAGAATCACAAGATGACTGAGGCCCGTCTTTCCCATATAGCAGTGTCAATAAATCTTGGAGCTCCGCAATCTCCCAATCTTGCATGTTCCTTCTAAATGAGAGGTCTCATACTACCCTCCCCCCTTCATGCTCCTTACGAATCTGTTGGACCATCAATTCCTTCTGGTTTGAAACTCTGAAGACATGGGGGAAGGAGACCCTCAGAGTATCCTTTCCACACCACCTATGATTCCAAAAGTTGATTCTGCTTCCATCTCCCATCCTGTAAGAGATGTTGCCACTGAAGGATTCCCAATTCTTCATGATGCTCCTCCACATGCCACACCCGAAAGGTGTTGTGATTGCCTTGGTCCTCCAACCCCCTCCCGTGGAATCGTACTTTTCTACTATGACCTCCCTCCATAGAGCATGCTCTTCTACCCCGAATCTTCACAGCCATTTCCTCAACAACGCTCTGTTGAATACAGGAGTGTTCAAAGCCGATCCGAAACCGAAAACCAAACCGAACTGAAGATTAATGGCTTACTGGTAACGGCTTAACGGCTTAATGGACGGGGAACAAATTGAAATTTTTTTATTAACGGCTTATCAGTTTGGGGGCGAATTATTCAATTTTCTTAACGGATAATCCGTTAACCCGTTAAGAATATAAATANTCTCTATAGTCTATTCTCTAAGTTGGAAAATTTTAGTGTGCTGGTAGGACAAAATGCTCAACATATTTAGTTGCAGAAGGCTATTCCTACACTCTTTCCTTTTGCCCAATGACTTAAGTCGAATAAACGTTGATTTTGGAAGGATACTGTGATTGGGCTTGTGAGGGCGGCCTAAGAAGTATTGAAGAAAGGTGATCAGACAGGACATGGTGAGGCTTCAGATTATCGAGGACATGGCCCTAGACAGGAAGTTGTGGAGATCGAGCATTAAAGTTGTAGGTTAGGAGGTAGTTGAGAATATCTGTATGGCGCCGCAGAGTGAGGCTAGTCTGTTAGGACTTGATCTTTGACTGTTAGTGTTTTATGTTGAGTCCACACTACTTTTTCGTTCCTCTTTGATGTGCTTTATCTACTGGTTATTGTTTTGCTTTTCACTTATTTTCTGGTTCTGGTGATGCTGTTCTTTGTTCTATGGTTTCTGTTGAAGGTACTGATAGATTGCCTCTTTTCGCCTTCTTTTGTCTTCTTGAGCTGAGGGTCTTTCGGAAACAGCCTCTCTACCCCCGCGGGGTAGGGGTAAGGTCTGCGTATACACTACCCTCCCCAGACCCCACTAGTGGGATTTTACTGGGTTGTTGTTGTTGTTGTACTGTGATTGGGCTTGTAAGTATCTCTACCTTTGGTGCAAGATGTGGATTACTAATTTAACTGTTTGACTGTGGTCTTGGTGGCTATCATTTAACGGTTACAAATTAGATGAGTTTGAGCAGCAGTTGTTGGATCTTAAAAGTTGGTGTTTTCAGAATAGACAGTCCGTGTTGTTCGTTAAGTTTGTAGAGAAGGTGAGTCAGTCCTACTGCGTTGAGTGATTAGTTCCCACATTGTAGTTAAGCCTAAGATGTTTTCATGTTGACATTTTATTTTTGGTATCTAATGAGATTGGTTCCTTAGCTTAGTTGGACATGTATATTGTTGGTACAATTACCTAGAAGGAACTATTATTTTGAAGTAAGTTGCTTTGAAGTGAACCAAAAGATGAAAATCGATGGATAAATATTTGAGATTTGAATGACTTCAGTATGGTAGTACCTAGTTGAGGATAATTTCGATTTGTGAATCTAGGCCGATAAACCGCCCGATAAGAGCTAAACTGATACCAATCCGCCCGATATCTTATCGGGTGGCTAATAGATTAATACATTTAAAAACCGATAACCGTTAAGTCAAATCGTTAAGAGTAAATAACCGCCCAATCCGCCTGATAAGCAGCCCTAGCTGAATACCCTAAGATCTTTTACTCCAAGTCCACACCATTTCTCTGGGGAAGTGACTGTCTGCCAATTCACTAGATGATACTTTCTAGTTCCATCCGCTGCATCCCAAAGAAAATTCCTTTGAAGCCGCTCCAGTTTTTCTGTGATGCTCACATGAGCTTGCAACAGGGACAAGTAATAAGTGGACATACTCGATAAAGTGCTTTTGATGAGCACTTCCTTTCCGCCTTTTGACAAGTACCGTTTTTGCCAGCCTGCTAATCTTTTTGAACCATTTCGATCACTGGATTCCAAACCGTAGTATCCTTATGCGAAGTGCCCAATGGGAGACCCAGGTAAGTAGTGGGAAGGGAGCCCACCTTACATCTGAGAACATAAGACAAAACATCAATGTTAGCAACCTCACCCATCGGGAAAATCTCACACTTGCCGAGGTTGATTTTGAGACCTGATACTGTAAGTACGTGATTTTTGCCCTATATGAAATACTCCTATAAAATCCAAGAAGATAGATTTTTTTTATAATTATTTGCCATTTTTAGGAATTTTTATAGATGTTATTAATTGGTTGCATTTTTCTTGCATGTTTAATTTTATTTAAATCATGAAAAAATACCAAAAAATGTCGCGCATTGCATTTAGGATCTAGTTTTATATTTTTAGGATTAACCAGTAATTATTTGTTTTATAAAAATCGAAAATCACAAAAATTCTTCATTTTTACACTTTTCCCTTTTATTGATTTTTTCTCTTTTAATTTGATTAAGTAGTTTTTATAATTTTTATAATTGGTTAATTAGTTTAATTTCACATTTTTAGATAATCTAAGATTTTAATTTCTAGAATTTTTAATTAAAAAAAAAGAGAAAAAGAAAAGGAAATAAGGAGTTTATTTAACTGGGTTTAAATTCGAAACTTGGGCCATTTTAAAGCCAAAATCAGCCCAATTAAATGACACCAAAATCTGTCCAACCCAAACCCAATCTCTCGCCCCAAATACTCATTACCCTTTACCCTACCCCTACCTATAAAATGACAATTTGGAAACCAAATGGAGGAGACCCTTAGCAAATACAGACGAAACGGCGCATCCCTTCTCTGATTAAATTAAAAGAATAGATCAGACCTCCATTTTGAAAAAGAGAAAAACCAATTAGAGCGAAAAAAAAGGGTTTGCTTCAGTCTTTCCCGGCTCTTCTCCAAAAAGCAGAAGAACGTTAACCCCCCCCCCCCCCC